GGGGGGGGGGGGGGGGGGAGGTGCGAGCGCGGCAGCTAGCCCCCCTGGCCCCGGCCCCGCCGCTGCAGGCCCCCTTCGTCCAGGTCCAGCTCACCCGCCGCCTCCTCCTCGGCCTCCGCGTCTGCGGCCGCGCCGCCAAACGGGTCCATCTCTTCATCATCATCGCCGCCGCCGCCGGCCCCGTCGGCATCCTCCTCATCTTCCTCATCCTCCTCATCCTCCTCTTCGTCGTCGTCGGCCCCGAGGCCGTCCAAGTACTCGTCCCCCAGATCATCCCCGCCGGACACGTCATCCTCGTCATCCTCAAACTCGTCCGCATCGGATATGTCCAACTCGACGTCGACGTCGGCGCCGCCCCCCATCTCTTGCAGGTGGCGGAAAACCGCCGCCAGCGCGCCCGCGCCGCCGCCACCGCCCTCGTTGGCGCCGCCGTCGTCCTCTTCGCCGTCGTCGCTGCCGCCGGCCGCCGCGGCGGCGCCGTCGGGCGCGGCAGCGGCGGCTGCGGCGATGGTGGCGACGGCGTCGTCGGCGGCGGCGCCGAGCAGCAGGTCCTCCAGGGCCGCCTCCTCCTCCGCCGACTCGTCCACCTCGTCACCCTCGTCGCCCTTTCAAGGGTTTGGACACGGGGAGGGGGATGCGGGGATTGGCAATGGCAGCCCAGACGACCAGCCACAACATTGGGGTTGTAACAGTTGTACAGACACACACACACACACACAGACACACACAGACACACACACGCATGCACACACACACCAATCATGTTGAAGCAGGCGCGCCCCTCCTCACACCCACCAACGATCCCTGATAGCTGCCCTGCTGTCCCCGCCCGCGCCCCCACTCCCCTATCCAACCAACCCCCGGCCCAGCCCTCCACCCACCTCCTCCTCCTCCTCATCCTCCGCGTCGTCCGCCTCATCACTCTCGTCGTCCAGCGCCGGCCGCGGCCGTCCCACCTCAAACATCCGCACGCTGCTGCTGACCGCGGTCGTGTCGGCCGCGATGTCCACAGCCACCACAGCCAGGTATGAGTCAGTGGGGTCGAGGGCCAGATCGAGCACAGCCCTCTCCACATCCACGGTCGCGATCTCCGCGTACGATCTGGCGTCCACGGTGCGGAACGCGGTGGCCAGCGGGTGGCGGCGGCGGCGCGGGTGCAGCAGGGCGGCGAGCGAGTCGTCGCTGGGGCGGCGGAGGCGGGCGAAGATGACGTCGCCGCCTGGGGGTGCACATGGGGGTTAAGGGCCGGGTGCATTGGTGCGTGTCTTGCTTGTCTGTGTGTGTGTTTTGCTTGTGTGTGTGTGTGTTTGTGTGTGAGAGAAGAGTATGTGTGTGCGTTTCACAGCCCAGAGGTTATCTCAAGGCTTCAGCACCTTGGGGTCCAAGGTGCCCTGAAGCCCAACCCACTATCAGCGCTGCGCGGCAGCCCAGGTTATCATATCCACTCGCCGGCCCCGTAACCGGGGCCCATGCCACGCTTTCTAGCACGGACACGCACATATTAATCATCAAGCATCAGCATGACACTTCGCCCAGCGTCATGCCCCGCGCCCACGCCCCCTAGCCCGCCCCGCCCACCCGAGTTGAAGGTGATAGAGGTTGCGTCCAGGCAGGGCACGCTGCGCATGAGCTTGTACGTCCTGAGGTCCCACACCTCGCTGTTCAGGATCAGCTCCAGCCCACCAGGGTGGAACGCGCTGCCCGCGGCCTGGGTGTGCGGGGAGGGGTTGAGGGGAGGGGTCGAGGGGAGGGGTTGCATAACAGTTTCGACAGGAGAGGCGTCGAATGGAGTGTGTGTGTGTGGGGGGGGGGGGCGGAGGGTTTTGACTGGGGATCATTAGCTGAAATGGAAGCAGGGCAGTGGTTTTTGTTTGCATCGCCCACGCATGAGCACCTGAAGTAAGCAGTGACCCAAACACACGCGTCCGAGTTTCTTTCTACCGCGTACACATATGTGCACGCGAGCGCGCACACACACACCACCACACACACACACACACAAAGATGTCCACACACACATATAAAAAAGCACAGACACCTAGAACCTCTTTAGCTTGTTGCGCTTGCGCGCGTGTGTTATTTGCAGTATGGAAGTGTGTGTGTATGCACGTGTGTGCATGCGCGCGCGCAAGCGCAACACACACACACACACTTCCATACATACACACACACTTCCATACTGCAAACAACACACAAAAACACACACACACACACATACACGATCACATACACACAATTGCGCACATGCGTATAAACAGACACACACACCCACACAGGCGTCCACCCACCTGGTGTTCGCTGAGCTGGTCAAACGTGTGCACAGCCACAGGCACCCGCGGGTCCCACAGCGTCGTGCCCCACAGCAGCAGCTCCCCCGTCGGCCCGAAGCACGCCGCCGCCGCGCCGCGCCCGCGGTCCGCGCCCGGCTGGCCGCCGCCGCGCGCGAGGGCCGCGGCAGCGGAGTCGTCGAGCTCGGCCAGCTGCGCGCCGGTGGCGGCGTCGTAGATCAGCGCGCGACGGGGCGGCAGCGACGAGACGCCGACGATCTGCCAGAGCGATGGTGGGATGTCAAGAGGTGGAGGGGGGGATGGGGATACTGAGGGACAGCATTGTGGGGCAGAGGGGGCACATGCTGAAGGCAAAATCATCGGCAGGGGAGGGCCCTCAACAGCCGGGGATGTGGCAGGGGGCAAGTGCCCGGCCTGGTGGTGGGGTGCATTTGCGCCCTGCTTGGGTGCATCTGGCGGCCGCCTTTGCGGGGTCAAAATCTTGACAACCTCCTGGCTGCTTGCTTGTGGGTGGCCTTACATCCTGCCGAGCGACAGTTGAGCGATCCCGCCATCCGTGGCGTGTCTGATATCAAGCGCGGGGCTGCGGCACTCTCATGGCCCTCCGCCCCTAACAAAAAAGGGCGCCCCCCGCACCTGCGTCCCCGCGGGGTTGAACCGCGCGCGCGTGAGCCCGGGGAACTCGTGCGCATGGCCCGCGCCCACGTCTGCGCCCCGCCAGAGCTTGACCTCGTGGCGCGATGACGACAGCAGCAGCAGGTCGTCCAGGGACACGCCGGGCGGCTCGTGGGTCTGGTGGGGCCGCAGAGGGTGGGCGCGGGCGCACGTGCGCGTGTGCATGTACGTGTGTGTGCGTGTGCGTGCGTGTGTGTGTGTGTGTGTGTGTGTGTGTGTGTGTGTGTGTGTGTGTGTGTGTGCGTGTGTGTCTGCATGCAAGTGCGTGAGAGAGACAGGACAAGCCCGGCTTCACGCCCCAAATCCACCGCCCCAAAGCAGCCCCGCGCGCCCCCACCTGCAGCATCACCACAGGCCCGCTGTGCGCGTCCGCCACCTCATCCACGCCCTCCCCGCTGTACGCGTCGTGCACCCGCAGCTCCCCGCCGCTGCAGCCGACCACCAGCACCTCGTAGCCGCGCGCAAAGGCGGCTGCGGTTAGCAGGGAGCCCTCGTCGCGCAGCACGTGGCCAGGGCGGAAGCGGCTATAGACCAGGCGCCGGTCTAGAGTGGCGCCCCCTGTTTGGGGACAAACAGGACGGAGGGAATGGGTTCGTTGCGTGATTGTGATAGGAAGCGAGTGGTGTGGCAGCCAAGCGGGGACGATCGAAGAAGGTGGTTGGGAGGGTAGGCGTACTGGCCTGCAGGGGTGAAGCCAGCCGGGATACGGCTGGAACGGCATGTGCGGCGGGGGAGGCGCCCCCGGCTGCCAGCCGACCATTCCGACGCCCCCGACCGCTCACCCCTGCCGCCGCGCCCTCCGAACGCCTCGCGCCGCGCGACGCGCGTCGCGACGCCACGGGGCGCCTCCAGGTCGCGCCGCGCGGCCGGCAGCGAGTAGGGCCGCAGCAGCGACACCGGCGGCAGCGTGGACACCGGGTTGGCGGAAGCCAGGCAGGCGGCGCGGTGCTGCTGGCGCAGGTGCGACAGGACTATGGCGCTCAGGCGGCTGTTGATGAGCGGGCCTGGGGGCGCAGCAAAGCGAGCAAAGGGTGGTGGAATTTCAGCAGAGGCACGAGGGCAGGCACGCCGCGTTCGGACGCAAAGCGAGAGACGCAGTAAGGTGAGGAAAGCCGCGCCCGCGGCCGAAAGGCCGCCTCAAAACAGCCCGGAAAGCCGCCCCGCGGCCGCGCACCCGTCATCACGTCGCGCGCCGCAGCCGCGACGTGCGGCGGCACCTGCCGCGGCCCGGGGGCCGCCTCGGCTAGGGGCGTGAGCCGCTGCGGGAAGTCGAGCCCCGCGCTGTTGCGCCGCCCCGCGCCCGCCAGGCCGCCGCGCCGGCTGGGGAGGCCGGCGAGGTACGGGTTGACCAGCCCCCCGCCGCCGGCGGCGCCGCCGCCGCCGTCCTGCAGGGCGCCCGCCGCAAACGGCCCGCCGGCGGCGGCGCCGCCGGGCGTCGAGGAGCCGCCCAGGTGGGGGCTGCTGCGCACGCCCTGCTTGCCGCCGCTGTGGATCAGGGGTGAGCTGAACATCGGGGGGTCGGCCCCGCCGCTGAACGCAGTGAACACGCTCGGCGGTTGCGGCGGGGCTGGCTGCTGATGTAGCTGTTGCTGCTGCTGGTGATTCTGTTGCTGCTGCTGCTGCTGCTGCTGCTGGTGGTGGTGGCGGTTGTTCTGCTGGTGCTGTTCCCGTTGGTGATTGTGCGGCGTCTGTTGCCGCTGCAAACTTCCGATGTAATCGGCGTCTGATTGGTGCTGCTGCTGGTGCTGCTGCTGCTGCTGCTGCTGCTGGTGATGATGGGTGTGATGGGCACCCCACGGCGCGCTGCCCTCAGCCCCCTGCGCCGCCCGCAGCCGCGGCACGCGCTTGGCGCTGGCGCCCGCGCTAAGGGGCCCAGTTGGCGGGGACATGGCGCCAGCCGCTGCGGACACCACACGGGAGAAGGGAAGCGTCAGCGCCGCTGCTGCACCTGCCTTGGCTGGCGCGGGTGTCATGAAACCAGGCTCTGGCGGCGCGTCAGCCGCCGCACCGGGCTGGTCCCGAGCTGGTTGCGCCTGCCCCAGCTGCTGCTGCTGTTGCTGTTGCTGTTGCTCTGTACTAGGTCGCTTGCCCGCAGGCTGCGCATTGGCGCTCATAGGTAGCCCCTTGCGCTTGCTGCCCACCACAGGGGTGGTGCTTTCGTCGGCTGCTGCTGCGGTTGCCGCCGCCTCTGATGTTCCCGCTTGGTGATTGAGGATGTGAGTGCTGTGGTTCTGCTGCTGCTGGTTCTGCTGCTGATGCTGTGGCCGCTGCGCCGATGAGCAATGCTGCTGGTCCTGCTGCTGATCCTGCTGCTGCTGCTGCTGCTGCTGCTGCGACTGCTGCTGCGACTGCTGCTGCGACTGCTGCTGCTGCTGCTGCTGGGACGGCTGAGGCTGTGCCTGTGAGTGCTGCTGCTCTTTGCTGCCGGCCCCCGGCTGCAGATCGCCACCGCTGACCACGCCAGAGCCGGGCCCTGCCTGCTGCTGCTGCTGCTGCTGCTGCTGCTGCTGCTGCTGCTGCTGCTGCTGCTGCTGCTGCTGCTGTTGCTGCTTCTGCTGTGCGATGTGCTGCAGCAGGCTGGGCGCCAGGGTGATGCTGCGCCTCTTGTCCTTGCCGCCTGTTGGACAAAGCGCAAGCGGGGGCCCGGCTGGGTGCGCTGTGGTGCAAAATAAAGGCAAACGCTGGCAAGCAGGGAGGACAGCACAGGCTTGGCTAAGCCAGCAGACAGGTCAGCAGCTGGGTGTGCGCATGCAGGTATCCAGGCCCCCATGCAATGCAAAGCTGGCACCCAGCACACCTTGAGAC